GACGTCACAAGCCACGCCCTTACAAAAATAACCCCGCCCAGGTCCAAGTGCGACGTCACAAGCCACGCCCTTACAAAAATAACCCCGCCCAGGTCCAAGTGTGACGTCACAAGCCACGCCCTTACAAAAACAACCCCGCCCAGGTCCAAGTGCGACGTCACAAGCCACGCCCATACAAAACAAACCCGCCCAGGTCCAAGTGTGACGTCACAAGCCACGCCCTTACAAAAATAACCCCGCCCAGGTCCAAGTGCGACGTCACAAGCCACGCCCATACAAAACAAACCCGCCCAGGTCCAAGTGTGACGTCACAAGCCACGCCCTTACAAAAATAACCCCGCCCAGGTCCAAGTGCGACGTCACAAGCCACGCCCATACAAAACAAACCCGCCCAGGTCCAAGTGTGACGTCACAAGCCACGCCCTTACAAAAATAACCCCGCCCAGGTCCAAGTGCGACGTCACAAGCCACGCCCATACAAAACAAACCCGCCCAGGTCCAAGTGTGACGTCACAAGCCACGCCCTTACAAAAATAACCCCGCCCAGGTCCAAGTGCGACGTCACAAGCCACGCCCATACAAAACAAACCCGCCCAGGTCCAAGTGTGACGTCACAAGCCACGCCCTTACAAAAATAACCCCGCCCAGGTCCAAGTGCGACGTCACAAGCCACGCCCATACAAAACAAACCCGCCCAGGTCCAAGTGTGACGTCACAAGCCACGCCCTTACAAAAATAACCCCGCCCAGGTCCAAGTGCGACGTCACAAGCCACACCCTTATCCAATACATCACCTTGTGATTCCCAATCCCTGTACTGGGGAAACCCGGAAGTAACGTTATGTTGAAGCAATTTACGGCAGTTTCGAGGATCTAAATAAAGTAATGTTGTCTTTCGTTTTACTAATACACGTTTTCTTATTTTCGTAAAGGATGTCTGGGCTAAAATGGCACAACTTAAATATAATATATTTAATATGTCTAATATATGGAGCTGATTTTGTCATCAAAACCTGTAAAACGCTTGCATTGGTTGATTAAATTAGGCTAATTGTTAATAAAATCATTTACACCTTACCTTATTCATGCAATGAGATAAATTCATTTTAAATAAATTTTAAATATATCAAATTTAAAGGGGACAATTCGATTTTGGTGTTGTAGAAGTCATGCTAAACATATTTTTAAATTAATTTATAATTGTGATTTAATTTTCTAAAGATGTGTCATAAAGTGTTAACATTTTAATGAAATCACTTCCGCGAGAGGATAACAGATATACACGCGAGGAAACGGGAGCCTGTGAGCTCATTTTAAACCCTCGCGCAAATCAAGCCCTCGCGTGCTCGGACACGACTCGCAGCACGCATCATTACCTGCCCTCGATCTTCTATTTTGCTCGCGCGAACACTTTTTATTTTTGGCAGTCGTGGGGCGGGACTTTACTTATTTCATTGTAAGCTCAAATGTCATTGGTTTACGCAAAGAATGACGGCCCTGAAGTGGCCCAGAACTGGATTAAAGACAAGGGCCACACATGGGCCATAACCAGCCCGAATCTCAGCCAGTTAATCACCCTGAACTGGGCCAAAACAGGTTTTATTATTGGTACCAATTCTCAGCCATAAGTTAACCATATCAACACCACCCTTTAACCAGAAACCCCAAAACTGAGCCATAACCCAGCCTAAACTTACCCAAACCATGTGAACAAATGAGTCACAAAAAAAATTAATTCTCAAAATTAGTTTATTTAACAATAATGCACAAGCCAAAAAAGTAAAAATGACAGCTAGAATTCTGTAACTGTGTGAATGCTATTTTAGTTGCCTGAACTGCCAACAATGTACAAAATGTTTCAATTATAACTATAATTTGTTTACATTTCAGATTAATTTAATGTAATTTTACTCTCAACAAACAGAGAGCAAATTAAAACAATTACTTAAAACAAATGAACACATCAGAATGTTTGTATGTGTGAGGGAGAAAGTGATCTTATTTAGGACTGTCCTAATTTAGCCCCTCTTTTCTCCTCAAGCGCTCTCTCCTTCCTCCATCTCTATCAGGAGCAAGCTGAAGCCATCTTTCTATATTTGCTCCTGATTGGTGGCATGTTGTGTCAGACGATTTTTTTCTCACAGCAGCTAAAAGACAAAAAATAATAATACTAAATTACTAAATACATATACAAACATTCATCCACCTACTGTAAATAAATGTGGGTTTTAACAAATTAAAATGAGGTTGCTTCGGTTACATTTGATACAGGAAAGGATTGCTTATAACGTGGCACTATTTAATGCTTGTACTAACTGGCTTGTCAGAGTTTGACAACAGTATTTTGACAAACAAGACCCTTTTAGAGAACAAAAACCTTAAAAATGTTGAGATATGCCCCATACAGCAACATAGTGTCGGCCCACATCTGGCCCGTGTGAAATCCATGTGGGCCGGATCTGGGCCGACACTAGTTGCTGTCTTACTGTGGTGTAAACAGAGTAACTAATGCACTGTTGAAGTACTTATAATTTAACACATTCAAAGCATAACATCTTATTACCACCCCAAGAAAGTGCATTTAATTTCAAAATTCAGGAGAAATTTTGAAAAATGTTGGTAACCAGACCAAGAGGTTTGTTTAAATGCAGCAAAGGTATAACAACAAACTTGTCATGAAATGGCAGTCTGACATACTTTTGCATTCTAGTGAACTCAGAAGGAATGCAATCCCTCAAAGAAAGCAGTCTCTCTGAAATCAAGGAAGCTTGACTGCTTGACATACGACAACGCAGGGGTCCAGGAGGACCCATCCACAAATCAAGCAGACGCCTCATAGCCCCTAAGCATACTAAGTGCATGTAATCATAAGGGAAGCTGGCAACCATGTCAATATTAAGGTCAGCCAAAGGTGAGTGTTCATGGTGGTGTTCTACATCTGTATTTTGTCTAAAGCACTCATCAGTTCTACGCCTTGCACTTAAATCAGGGAGTGTCATTCGATGTCCTATACGGACACCAGTTTGGTGACGCTTGTTACATCCATGGTATGCACAGTGCGATTTCACACCTTTGACAAAGGCTCGGGCTGGGGTGTCACATACAACAGAGCAGATGTTCAAAAAGAACCTCTTTCCCTGAGAAACAAACCCACTGCTCAGTGACTTTAATTCACTCACCAGATGTTGGAAATACTCTGACAAAGGCTTTGGTTTAGTGTTGCCACAAAAAAGACCAATCAGCACTGGTTCCTCGCTGTACCCCTGCAACATACCTAGAATCAATCACTGTTGCTGATATCCCTTACCAAAAAGTAGTATACTTCAAGTTTATTTTAGTAAGTATACTTAAGTAAAGTTCAAGCATATTTTTAAGTATACTTTATGTAGCAAGTATACAAATATCAGTGTACTAGTAGTATACTAGTAAGTGTACTATTTCAATACTCCTTGGGACTAAATTGACCTAGTGATGTAATTGACCTAATTGATCTAGCTTCATGCATTCTTTTTTTAAATACTTGAATGTGGATAAGTTTCATTAAAAAATAAAGAAATAAACAACATTTTGAACAAAAAGCTGAAAAAAAGACTATGAATTGGACTCGATCAACACCCCAAAGCTTGACAGTCATTATCACCTCTTCATTGGTTGACATTTTATTCCATAATGTTACACAGTTTTGATGCTGTTTTATGTCTGATGATCATGTTAGAATACATGTGGAAGCATCTGTTGTTTCGGTTTCTTCTTCACTTGTGTTTTTTGGAAATTCTGTACAGAAGATGTGTACTAGCGCCCCCTACAGTGTAAGTATACTTAAGTAAAGTTCAAGCATATTTTTAAGTATACTTTATGTAGCAAGTATACAAATATCAGTGTACTAGTAGTATACTAGTAAGTGTACTATTTCAATACTCCTTGGGACTAAATTGACCTAGTGATGTAATTGACCTAATTGATCTAGCTTCATGCATTCTTTTTTTAAATACTTGAATGTGGATAAGTTTCATTAAAAAATAAAGAAATAAACAACATTTTGAACAAAAAGCTGAAAAAAAGACTATGAATTGGACTCGATCAACACCCCAAAGCTTGACAGTCATTATCACCTCTTCATTGGTTGACATTTTATTCCATAATGTTACACAGTTTTGATGCTGTTTTATGTCTGATGATCATGTTAGAATACATGTGGAAGCATCTGTTGTTTCGGTTTCTTCTTCACTTGTGTTTTTTGGAAATTCTGTACAGAAGATGTGTACTAGCGCCCCCTACAGTATAACAATGAAAACACGGATTCTAGGAGCACAATTATAGTTAAAATATATTTAGACTTTTTCTAAGTATAAGTCAAGTATACTTAAATGTCATTTTAAGTATATTTCTGAGAAGTACATAAAGCCCATGTCTGAGAAGTACATAAAAAGTAGACTAAAAGTATACGTTCCTATTTTTTAGTTTAACAGAAGTATACTAATAGCACACTTGAATAAACTTCTTTTTCGTAAGGGTTGTCAGTGATTTTTCACTGTCAGATCATTTTAACAGCATTACATAGTTCCGCACACCGGATAGGAAGCACCGCACCTCGGACATCCCGCAGGCCGGACACCGGTCTATCGCACCCCAGTCGCGTCAGTCTGTACTCGCGTTCAAGGCGGCAGTGAATCAGCTATATGGGCAAAAGTTCACTTCAATAAAGAACAAAGTGTGGCATCCGGGTTTGAATTCAGGTATTTAAAAAAAACGTCAAAAAGAGACAATTATTCTATATTTTAAAGACTTCTATCAGTGTGCGACCCCTTTTACACTCTCAGGCTTGCAGTAGGGCTGTGATAGCGATGGAATTCATGAATCATGCATGACCTGCCAAAATGTTTAGTTGCGTTAATGTTACCCGCCACGATAGATTTTTAACCGCATTCGGCAGGTTTTTGTTCATTTCAATTCCCGCTAAAAATGTAAAAAAGCCCAAATATTAATGCAAAAGTCTGAAATCTTTTCATTAATATACAGATTGTCCAGATTAAATAAAAACGAACTAACATTTTTTTAATTATTAAAATCATTACATATGTTTCAGAGAGAGAGAGAGAATTAAAAATCTTGCCTCAAATATATAGTAGCAGGTCTAAATACTTAGTATAATTGTCCAGTACATAAAGTATGGACCATAATCGCTACACTGACCTGGGAAACACACCTCCCATTCACAATCGGCCCAAATGTAGTCTGCCGTCATGCATGCAGTGCCATCATTGCCACGCATGGCCCATAGTCGGCTGACATGATGTGTGCCAGTGCAGGCAACAGGCCAGCATTGCCATTATGAGGCCACACTTGGGCCAAGTCCGTTTGCTATGTGGGTATATATACAAAATAATCAATGTCGAATCGAATCAAATCGAATTGCAAGCTTGTGAATAGAAATTCAAGAAATCAGAATATTCATGAGAAAAAAATCCAATATTTGGTTAATTTTAAGTGTAATTTCCAGACCTGAAAAAAATATCAATGTCATTTTTTTTCTAGTTGAGCTTTGTTTTATAGTATTTAAACACCTATGATGTCTGTAAAATAATAAAAAAATGCTTTTTCAATCTGACAGAGATTGAGTAGAAGCCCTGTTTTTAATTAGTGTTCTATACTTAGCCTTTTTATTTTAAACAAACACTTCTATTAACCTATAGTAAAGGTGACATATCATGAAAATCCTTTTCCAGGTTGTAAGTGCTATAATCAGGTCACCGGTGCATCTACTAACCAAGGAAACGTGAAAAAGATGAACCCAGTCACTTTGTTTTGGGAAGTGTTTTTTCTGCAAGCATCTGAGAAAACGAGTGCGTCTGATTTTGCTCCCTTGGTGACGTGGCAAAGGGATCTCATTATAATATCACCGCCCCTTAATCTTAATTTCCCAGCTGTTTACCTTCACAGACATAACCCACTGTTTTTGTAACTCGTGTGTTTTTAACGTAAACTTGTGTGTGAATGAGAGCTTAGTTTAGTACTCGCATGCTGTGACAGCTGCTTTCTGTGCGTGTGCTTCGGATGTGTGCGCTCAGAAAACCCTATATCAGAAGTTTAAACTAATATGGTTTAAAACGCATGATTTCAGCACGATAAACATGATAATCAGAACTAAAACAGATGTTTTTAGCAGGTCTGAGCTGTAATGGTGCAGCTCTATTCTGAAAAAGGGGGCGGGGAGCAGCAGCTCATTTGCATTTAAAGAGACATGCCCGAAAAACAGCGTGTTTCTGCTTCCACTCAAAATAGGCATTTTCAAAATGATATAATAAATGATCTGTGGAGTATTTTGAGCTGAAACTTCACAGACGCATTCTGGGGACACCAGAGACTTATATTACATATTGTAAAAAGGGGCATAATATGTCTCCTTTAACATAATTTAATTTAACTTTTTTTATATAATTAGTTTTTCCTGGATTTATTCTTTTATGTAGTTTACTCTTAATACATAAATTGCATCAGTTCTAGTATGGTGCACTCAAGTCACACTTAAAGTTGCCCCTATAATGTTTTTTCCAATATTACCTTTCATGCAGTGTGGAATGTAGCTGTATGGGGAATGTAAATTATGCATCGCCTACACGGCACCTAAGCACATACACAGAGTTCCTTGGCATTATGAGGCAGGCTGTGAGCAATAGCAGAGAATTTGGTCGTTCATGAAATGGATTCCTTGTATAGTGTTTAATCACTATACTGTGTACCTTCTGTAACTGTAATGGTGTTATTAATATGTTAAAAGAATAGGGATACAGTTGCTATTGGATATTTGACTAGTTTATTTTATTTTTATCATTGACATGTATTACTACAAAAGCAGCCAAGATTGCTGCCAAATTGTTCCAAACTCAATTCAGACGTGAAAAAAATGTACATCAATACACAGTAAGCTTCAAAGCAAAATAAATTCATTATGCTGTTCAGTCTTTATGCTTGCTTTATTTTATTTTTTATTCATATTTGTTGAAACAAACTCCAGACAAAGCAAGTACAGTTCTTTGACAGGGATATTAGGACCAGTTGAATTCAGTAGATGTTCAAGAGCCCTCAACCCATCTGAACTCAAAGGACATTCAGATTCTGGAACAACAACTCCGAAATCTTCACAGGCATCGTAAGTAGCTGCTACATCCCAGTCTAGATCTGGCTCTTCGACGTCCTGAAGGTATAGCAGTTAAATAGTTAGGAATCCACTTATTACATAAACAGCAGTGAGGTGACAGAGTACACCTGACCACATCTGAACATGTTATATAAAAAAATTTATGAGTCCTAGATATAAAGATTAGTTTCTAAATTGGGTTTCAGAGGGGTATGAGCATTCATGCTGTGTACTGTATCTTAACTTTAACTGTAACCTTCCAACGGGGTAAAGTGCTGAAACCCTTTTATACTGTATTTCATGGAAAATATATGAACCACTCAAAACTGACAAAGAATGATAACAAAAAAGCTTACACAACAACTCTTGCTCACTGATATGAACAAGTGATGTATCTTTCATCCAATGCCACATGAAGCAATTTTGGATTTAGAATCATAGTTACAACTATTTAATGGACACTTCACATTTCTGAAGTTCTCAGAACTGATATAATTTTGGCTGGGTAAACATAAATACTGTATAGTGGTAATGTAGCAGTGAACTAACGTTACAGCAAATATAACCGTGTTCTCATCTTCCCCCATTAGCTACAGCTCCATAAAAATAATAAATAAAGTTAATATAGTATCTGGTAAGGACATATAATAATAATAATAATAATAATGCAATCAATCAGTCAATAAATAAAGTTTAACTCACTTGCATCTGGTCCATTGATGAAGCCATGTCTAATCGTTTTACAAAAGAGCGTCCAATCACAACAGACTTCCGGAAAAACTGAATTAACCAATGACATTTGAGGTTATAATGAAATAAGTAAAGTCCCGCCCCATGACTGCCAAAAATAAAAAGTGTTCATGCGAGCAAAATAGAAGATTGAGCGCGAGTGTGGGGAATGACGAGTCGTGTCCGAGCACGCAATGGCTTGATTTGCGTGCGGGTTTAAAATGAGCTTGCGGGCTCACGTTTCCTCGCGTGTAGATCTGTTATTCTCTCGCGGAAGTGATTTACTGCACGCGCAAGCATCAGCTGTGCGCTCGGTTATTAATGGCAGTAAATTAATGGCAGTAAAGCTCCTCTGGACACTCAAAGATGAATAAAAAGACATCTCTTGCTTCATCCGATTCTCTCCCCAGGTAGTCTCTGATGGCATTCTGTTGATTTTTACTGTCAACTGGAAAAAGGCATGTGTGTGTTTGTGTGGGGGGGGGGGGCGGGTAAAAACATA